GAATAGTGGGCAGGTCCCAAAGTTTTAGAAGTTAACTAATGTCACTCCTCTTTTCAAGGTATGTAATAAAAATTGTTCCAGTAATTATAGGCCTATCAGTCTTACATCTATTGTGGGAAAAGTTTTGGAGTTTTGGAAAATCTGGTAAAAGATGCTTTGCAAAGTAATTTAACAAAGTTTAGAATTTTATTGGATAGTCAATATGGTTTCAATAAGGGAAAATCTTGCATTACAAATCATCTGAAATTCTTTGAAAAGGTTACTGCTTATGTAAATGAGGGTAAAGGTGTAGATTTTATGTATCTGGATTTTCAGAATCCCTTTGACAAGGTGCCACATAAAAGGCCATGTAAAGAAATATATCTATAGGTGTGGGGGATACGTTAGCTAATGGGATATAAAAACAAACAGAGGGTTGTTACAAATTGAGTTTTGTCAAACTGGATTAATATCACAAGTGGGATACTTCAGGGCTCAGTCTTAAGTCTTTGTTCTTTTTGAATTACGTCAATAACATAGATGAAGGAATGGTCAATAAATTACTTAAATTTGCAGGTGATATTGAGGTCTTGAGTGTTTCTGGCTGTGAAGAGGATGCTGTTGCTTTACAATAAGTGCAAAATAATGCAGGTGGGTTATCATAATTTGAATTATAAATATAATTTGGATGGGAATAATCTTAACAGTGTCATAAAAGAAAGGAATTTTGGTGTAATAGTTGATCAGTCTCTTAAATCATCCAAGCAGTGTGCTGTTGCTAGTGGTAAAGCAAATAGGATTTTACACTGTATGTACAGAAATATTGAATACAAGTCTAATGAGGTTATAATTTCATTGTATAGGTCACTGGTTAGGCCACATTTTGGAGTACTGTGTTCAGTCTTGGGCTCCTTACCTTAGGAAGGACATTGAATTGTTGAAAAAGGTTCAAAAGAGGGTTATTAAAGTAGTTCCTGGGATGGAGGGTTTGTCATATGAGGAGAGATTAGGATCCTTGAAACTGTTTTTTTCTCTTGAAACAAAAGACAAGTTAGAGGGGATCTGTTTGAGGTGTTTAAGATTGTAAAGTGAGCTAATAGTGTTTTTCATACTTAATGGCGAGAATAGTAGGACTAAGAGACACAAATATAAATTTTGGCAAGGTAG